CCATTCTCCGCCGCCATTAAATGTCCTCCCAGCCCCGCCCCCTCCTGCCTCCATCCCCCTTGATTCTCCGCCCTGCTTCGCCACGTCCTACCCCCTCCGCCCTTGCTCCACCCTGCCTGCTCCGCTCCGCCTGCCCCTGCTCCGCCCCGCCCTGTTTCGCCCCACCCACTCCGCCCGCCCCACCCTCCTCCCCCGCCCCGCCCTTGCTCCGCCTCGCCCTGCTCCGCCTCGCCTCTCCGCCCCGCCCTGCTTTCCGCCCCGCCCACATGCTCCGCACCGCCCCCGCCCTGCTCTGCCCCGCCCCACCTCCTCCGCCCCGCCCCACCCCTACTCCGCCCGCCCTGCTCCCGCCCCCCCTGCTCCGCCACCGCCCCCCCTGCTCTGCCCCGCCCCACCCTCCTCCCGCCCCGCCCCACCCTACTCGCCCCGCCCCGCCCCCGCCCCGCACCCGCCCCGCCCCGCCCCGCCCTGCTCTGCCCGCCCTGTTCCACCCCGCCCTGCTCCTTCCCCGCCCTGCTCTGCTCCTTCCCACCCTCCTCGCTCCTCCCCACCCTCCTTCGCCCCTCCGCCGCCCTCCTCCGCCCCGCCCCCCTGCTCCCGCCCGGCCCTGCTTCGCCCCGCCCTACCCCGCTCCGCCCTGCTCCACCCTGCCCTGCTCCGCTCCGCCCTGCCCTGTTCCGCCCCCCTGCTCCGACCCTCACCTTACTCCCCCCGCCCCACCACTCCTCCGCCCCGCCCCGCCCATGCTCCCGCTCGCCCTGCTCCTCGCCCCCGCCCTGCTCCGCCCAGCCTGCATCGCTCTTACACCATGCCGCCTACTGGTATTGCGGATGTCCTTTCGCAAGTAATTACACCTGCCTCCTGGATTAGGCACCGCCTTCTAATAACCTGCTTTCGCTCGCTAGACGGAGCCAATCGGCGCACGCGAACGCTTTTGTTTGATCCAGAAGCCTGGCTCAACGACAAACTACGTGGCTTGTTGAGAAAGAACTAGTTAAAACAGTAATATCAGCAATGTCTAAAGCGAAGCCTCTATTAGTTGCGAGTTCAAACCAGACTTTTTACCCTAGATTTTCTGAGAGCATAAAATGATGTGCCATAATAAGCTTGTGGTATCGGCAAGAACCCTCAGAGATACCCGCCAAAATTAAAATCGTCGGCAATTTGCACTAATCGGATCGTATCCTCGTTAATTGAAGAATGGAACGAAAGAAATGGCGTAAGGAATGGAAAAATTGTAGCTGCGTCTGTGATTTTAACCGGCCCTGGCCGTAAATACGATTTTTAAAATTGGTTGTTAACGTTGAGAACTAGTGGCGTTAATAGATTCCTCCCAATGCAGCGTATACCGTTGGTGAGCCAATGTATCCCTCTCTAGGGTTTTAGAAATGTAAAAGCTTGGGATGTTGGCCATAACATCGTCGGAGCCCAATAAACCCCTTACTGAGACATTCTCAAAAATGATTTTGCACAATAGCAGCTTTTTATCTGCTCGTATCCATTTACTGAAGAGGCAAGTATCTTACTCTGTAACTTGGCTGTTTTGTGAGCCATCATAATGAAACTTTTACCACAAAACGTATACTGTTTTCTAAATATATTTCTTCACTATCTATAAAAAAGCGCTTTGCTCTTAGGATGCTCAAAGATAAACCTTTATTTATTATCTCTGAGAGTGAGTGAGACCGTCACAACTCTCATTGCATTCATAGCCATACACTGCTAGTTGCTCATTTAGTCGCCTACGCTCATCGACGTTTCAAACTATACCGCATACTGAAATCATTCAGTAACCTGGCCACAATTTGCTGTTTAAATTCTCTCAAAGCTGCATGGAATCTCAATTTTTTATTCTTATTTGCATCACCAATGCTCGCTCTTAAGGGCGTTTATGACCAGATTGTTTTAACCCTTTTTATTTTCAATTGTATAAAATATTTTAATATTATGAATTTTACATCATCTTAAGAGTTAATTAGATTTAAAAAGTATTATGAAGTTGTACATAAGTTCTCTATGAAGTATCTTTGCCGATACGTCCATGACGCGAATTAACATACTATGATTTAATGTAGTAACGAATGTTTGCATTATAGGAGAACTTTCACTGGTACAGTTCAAAAGTATTATTTTATCGAGGAAAGCTAAGGCATTATTGGGAAAACTATTTATTAAATAGCAGTTATGTAGCAAATTACAATTGATTCTCGTAGGAAATTCAGATAAAATTCAGTTCCGGGATATTTTTCCATTAAACAAAAAATAGGAACATTAACATTCTCTGCACGAACATTTATTAATTAATCTGAATTATACGTCGAAGTGTGATTAAATATTACATTTGTTTTCGGAAGAAATTCTTTAACAAAAATTAATCAAGTTTACCTTCCTCTTACTGTTACTTGTTACAACACTCTTGATTCTTGTTAATGGTTTTATCAAGAGTAAATCTTTTAACTTTCGAGCTCTATTTGAAATTCCAGCAACATGGATCAAGTGTTAATAAAAGTCAACTCTCGTATTTGGTTTCCGTGTAATCATTTTTACACTGATGTTCATAATTATAGCCGTATGGTTTACTTTAAACTGCAAAATAAATAACCTGTTGTAACTTGATTACAAAGCTGACACACAATTTAATTTTTATACATGTTCTCCGTTTAATTGTAAGCGAGTGTATACTTCACTGGGCAAAAACATAGAAATCTTCTCGTTTGCATTGTTTTTGTTTCATTAACCAAATTTACATTAGCATGAAACATTTTGTTCCATTCATAAATTCAATGAAAGTACGACCGCATTAATCACACTGTGGCCATAGGCATGGCTCTGTAGTAACTGACCATAATTTCATGATATGTTCCACTAATTATTTGGATGGAAATTGGATTGTGTGGTAAAAGCATGCGTGTCATCGGCAGGGAATGGCTTTATGATTACTGGAAACAGATGGTGCAACGATTTAACGAGGCTAGTGTGTGTGGATAGCATTGATCTTCGCCTGCACATCTCAAATGATTCTGAATAATTCATAGCGTTTTCTACGTATACCATTTTCACGTCTCTTGCACGCTTCAGAGACGTTTCCTCCCGCTGTACGGTGCCAATGAACCCATTCCTCTCCTGCAGCGCGCTGTTTCATGTGCTTTTAACTACACGTTGCTCAGTCATTTATTCATTCCCTCAGCGACGTTACATGTTTCCTTTTTTTAAATAAAAGCAACCATTTTGCACCAGATCATTGTGTGGAGTAAAACGAACTGCTCGTCTCTTTTGTAGGTTGGTTTCTTAATTAAAATAAAATACGAAAATTATAATAAAAATGCATATCCCCTCGCAGAGAAGAACAGCACATGGTAACGGATGCCGCATGCAACATGATTAATTTGCCGCGGGTGTATTAATAATAAGTCTTCTATTAAATTAGTTAGTCAAAAAAGAAATCCTTTGAAGTCCAATTAACAAAGTTATCAGATTTGAATATGTTCAAACCGCGCATAAATGGAAAACACAACGACGAAATGAAATTAGCCACTTGCAATAATTATAATCGTCGACACACGGGCTTGCTTTTGCTTCATATGATTACCACGCATGTTATCACTATAAATATGCATTAATTTGACAGCGGGTCGAGATAGGTGTTAAACGAGTCGTTAAATAATAGAAGAACTGTTTACACAGAACATATGCCGTACATTTGATTTCTCTTCAGTCAGAGGGAACGTTAAAAGGATTTTGTTCACTAAATTTATTTAGCAATTAGCTTTACATAATTTGTAAATGCCACATTTTTCATGTTAACTAATAGGCTTATAATTAAACCATCAATTTTAAGTTACTGTCTTACGTGTTCCGAGAGAGTTAATCTGATTTCTGGAAAATTCCCTTCTCATAGAAAGGAGGAATAAATTAAGTCATAGAAAGGAGAAACACTGGAATTTTCATGAAGTTTGCCCCTGTCACACCTTTTAAAAAAATATTTTCTTTCTTGTGAGTTATTTTACGCAGGCAACAAACAATAAAATATATTTGGAAACAAAGTGCAATTAGTAAAATTGTTTCAGATAGTAAAATAAAAACGAATAATATTTTGAAAAGTAAAATTACAAGTATGAAGTAATTTGCATCCGTGATGATTTTAAATTTTATTCTTGCTTTAATGCTTGCAAGATGGATGAACAGAAAACTGAATGTACATCCTGACTGTTACCGGTGTTTCCATTGAAACTGATAAACTGCATTTTTTCTCTTTGCTTTTTTCTCTCTTTTTCTATTTCTATTCTAACATCCTTATTTTGCGGGTCTATTTTGATATGCGTTGTTTTTTATTGATGTAAATGTTAATGAGGGTGTCGTGTGTTACAAAATATCACAATTATAGATATTTTATATTATATTATTGTGGAATCGGTTACAATGTTTATCCTTATTTATTTCCATATGCTTATGAGAGTGTTTCTTTATATTGAACAGGCATGTAGGTACATGAGGGTTTATAACTATGTTTATGTATCTAAGTATATTTATGTAGTATCCGTAAGTTTATCTATGTACTCGTGAGTACATATGTATTTGCATTTGTATTTGTATTGCAATTTTCTCCTTTTAAAATGGTCAATTAAGTTATAAAAGAAATATTTATCAATATTTATTGACAAAACTGTTCAGATGCGGATTTGCTGCTCAAAGCCGAAAACAACCGGATAGTCAGAAAATTCCTTACACTTTCTGATGTGTATCAACACACATTTTATTCACCGAAAAAGTAAAAACAATTCCTAAAAAAGCAGCAATCTCACTACAACAGAGGCAAAACGCAACAAGGGCGCAGTTTTCAGTGCATTGTCCGGATCTCGTCGTTATCACAAAACACACGCGGGTCGGCCTGCCCGGCGACGCGCGCGCAGCCCGGCACTTGTTCTGTTTCACTCGCGGTTTGCCGCGCACAACCGCCGGTCTGTGCGTGGGAGGGCTCTAGTAATCCCGTATTTATGTAGGTACAAAGCGGGCCGCTGGAGGGAGGGGGCGAGGACGGAGGCGGCGGCGGCGGCGGGGGCGGCGAGACAAGAGTGGTTGTGGTATTCAGGCGGCCATGGGTGGGTGCGGAGGGACTGTGCAGGCGATTCTTTTTGAGAGCGTGGCGCGATGGTGGCGCTGCCGTCGCCGCCGCCGCCGCAGCGGAGACAGTCATTTGTTCCGAAATAAAAGCGAGGCGCCGACCGCAGGACGCTGGGAGAAGGGGGGGGAGACCACGACTGAGGGGTTGTGTTCTGGCGCCCTAGCGTTGCGCCCCTAGTGGAAGGAAAGAGAAAGAAGGGAGAAGGAAGGCGGCGGGTAAAGACAAAATAGGAGTGAAAGACGAGAATAGAAGAAATAAGACAAAAGGTAATCAAGATTCTCATATGTAATTCTGCGCTTGCCCTTTTATTTAGTTCACTCTTTGTAGCAAGAAATGTTTCAATTTGTTATATACATCTTAAATACTTGTATTTTTAAACAAAACAACTTGCACCCTTTCTCACTTCCGCACTTGTGTTCAAGAGGTTAGCATTGCTTCCCACCAT